GTGTGTGCGGATATATCTTGCCGTTCCAGAATTTCAGTATTGTAAGTTAATGTATTAAATTGCACTCAATATATATAAATGATTTGAGGGTTTAAAAAATATAGCTTGTCACTGATAAAGCACTGTCACTACCACAGTTTTCACTGCAAAAAGTGTCACTAATAGTAATAAAACATTGTCACTATAATTGTTCTAACGGGAATAACATGTCAATGGTAGTATTAATTATATGTCACTGCAAAACATGTGACTATAAGTATTAACATTATGTCACTAACCACATGTGTCACTGCAATATGTGGCAGTGTAAGTATTAATTCCATGTCACTGACAATTGTGTCACTGCATCATGTGTCACTATTAGTATTTTGACATTGTCAGTGATACAAAATTGAATAGTTTTCTTTTATGTTTTAAAGTAAAAAAATATAAAGTATATATGTTGTTCTTAACATGTTCATTTTTGTATAATTCCAATATGAGGGTGAAGTTGAATGTATTTGAATGAGTTGTATTATACTTATATATGGTGTATTGTTATTGTCGAAAGGGGTATATAGCACTATAATAATGGTGTCATTGTGAGGAAAATAAACAACAAGTACACATGCATTAGAAGAACTATTCAAGAGTAGTTATGAATTACATAAGTATCACACATCAACATGAAACCAGAGAGTAACAAAAAGAAGTTATGTTTTGACTACTACAAGTTTGTAGAACATATTTAGTATTCAATAGGAACAAACTTAAACAACAGATGAATGGGTAATTATAGCTTTTCCCTTTGAAGTGCCATGAACATAAAGGTCATGAGCCCACTTTGCTCGGTAAGAAGGAACTTTGTCGGGGCACACAAGGTGGATATCCATGTCCATTTGAAGTACTTCAGCCATCTTCATCACCAAAAGCCCACAATCTCCCCTGAAAAGATAATAAAAATGGTTTAAAAATCTGTTTTTGAGTTGAAAAAGGTCAAAACAGTTAATGAATGCATATGAATAAACGGGAACTATCACAAGCACAGTATGACATGCAATAGTCGAAATTGAGATTGAAAAGCGTAAATCCTTTTCAAAAAAAAGTAGGAGAAGAGTAGTAACCTTATGAGATTGAAAGTAAACATACTAAAGAGCGTAGGTCAAACATAATATCAAACAAACATGAAGAGAAAAGTGCAAATACAAAGAGAAATATGGTAAAGCATTACGAAGGTGAACTTGGAGTTTGGAATCTAGGAAAAATGAGTACAATGTCGGTGAACGTAAGCGGAAAAGAACGAGATAGAATCAACAATGTACCACAAGTTATGAGCAGGGTAAGAACAGAGGCGTTGTAGCACGAAGTTGAAAAGTCGAATAGAAAATGAAGAAGGTGAAGTTGAATTCCAAATACACAAGTACAAAGACGACGAATGTAGACATGGAAGAAGGAGATGGTGTCAAGCAATCAAATCGTAAGCTTCCATTGTTAATCGTCAATGAAGAGGACGATGAAGTTCGACGTTATTAGTTGGGAATTTCTAGAGACGGTTGGAATGAAAGGGCAGGTAACCGGTTTAGCAAGTTCTATTTTTTGAAAGTACCGGGTTAGCAAGTTTTAAAATTAGAGTTAAGTCATATTTTTGGAAAATATAATAATGGTCATATTTTTGTCTTAAGAAAGCCCATTAGTAATTTTTTTTTTGAAAGGAAACTGATTATATTATATCAATCCAACGTCTCAACATACTTTCCCCCTTACATTCAACCCAAACTTCCTCAATCAAGCATCTAAATTTACGACCCCTCGAATAAAGCCAAACCTCCTCGTGAGGCTTCGCATAGCCCAAAGGCCCCCCCACTCTCTGGCTAGACTTAGAATAGACCACCCCGGAAGGAGCGAGACTATTCGCGAACCATGTGAGAGTTTCGAAGCTTTTAACGGCCAAACAAGCCTTATCGCTTCCACAAAAAGCAGCATCCCACGCCAAGCAAGACAAAACCAAACTCAACCTACCGCTAAAGTTCCAAACAAAGAAAAAGGTAACGTGAACAAAATAAAAGGAAAGGCAACAGAAAAAAATAAAGTCTTCATGGCTCTCGGCCTTATTTAACTCCCAAAGCTGCAGTCCCGTGACTCTTAATGATGTGCCTGGCGAGCTACAAATTTGTAGTTCGCCTCCTCTCCGTTTTTTTCCCCGGTATGACTGATCTCCATCTCCTCAGTCTGGTGCTCTGGTGAGTCCTCCACACGCCTTCTTTTCTGCTCAATGTATCCCCTCTCGTGTGGTGATATCCCGCCTTCCACCGTACCTGGTCGCATGCCTTCCTCTCTATTTCCAATAGTTGCCATGCTATCAGAACTGATTCCTCTCCCTACTGGAATAAGCCATTTATTCTCTTTCCATTGTTTTGCCCCTTTTGCAGCTCTAAGCCAAGGCCCAAATGGCCTTTCACCAGTGACTTCATATCCCCTTTGTTTACGCGGACAATGACTCTCTGCATGCCCTATTATACCACACAGAAAGTAGAAGCTGGTAGTTTCTCATAGCAGAACCTGACCCGGAAAGTAACTCTCATGAAAGACTTCCAACTCTCAGAAAAGTTATTATCATCAACTTTTATAAAAGTACCTAAAAAATTCCCAATACGTTCCGCGTTCTCAACAGTGAAATATCCCACTGGCAAATCATGAACTTGAACCCAAAAATCCGCCCTATTCAATGGAACAGATAGGGGGATATCTCCCTCTTTAAGCCTGCTCATAACAATTAAGTTCTGATCAAAGAGCCACGGTCCCTCCTCCTCCACCCTAATGACATCCTCCTCATTATAGAACTGAAACACATATCTTCTAGGACCAATTTCAGTTATAGTAACACCATTTTCAGGTTTCCACACAGATGTCATAATATCTCTAAACTGAGAAAAACGTACCGAATTTTCTGATGTTATGGTTCCCGCCATTGACAGATTGTGATTCGAGGAATTCCCTGCCATAGGTGCGACTACGAGAACCTCGTCCTCCTCTTCCAGATCCAGCAGCTCATAAGCTTTGGCCAGAGCGTCCACTCCTTCGTTGTTCTCCTTCTCCATTTGCGTTTGCCCAATAACATGAGTTCGAACTCGTCCTTCAAAGCTTTCTGTCGAGAGCCTGATATCACCTCGTGAAAAACCTTGCCTCTTGCCGATCCTGCTTCGGCCGTGAAAGTCTACGGACGAAGAAATTCGCCCGACCAAAAAACCCTAGCCTTTGCGGCTAGGTCCTCTCCGCTCTGCCCATTAGTAATTTTGGTGCCATTTTTTCAAATAATATTTATGAATTTGAGGTGCTTCATCATAACGGAAAAATAATAATTTTGCAATTTAATTAAAGAGCTAATATTTTAACATAAAAATAAATCTTTTTTTAACTCTTTCAATTTTTTATTTTTCGATTTCGAATTTAAAATTTATTTTATATTTAAAAAAAACTATTTTATTTATTTAAAGTTAATAAGAGAAAATTTGCTCCTTTATAGGAAAATGAGGGGTATTTTTGCAACTTTTTAAAGTTCAATTGTATATATGCACCTTGATATAAACTTCAGGGGTATATTTGTTCCAAAAATAGAACAAGAATATATTGTTCTCATACCCATACTACAGAAGTATATTTGTACATTTTCCCATTTTTAAACCACATATATATTAATAAAGCACAACAGTCCATATATCTTTTGTGGGGAGATGAGTGACCTTTTAGCTAAATTTATATGCAAGGTAAAGACATTTCAAACCACTTTCATGTATTGAAATTCAAGTATATGGTTGTAAATAATAATATGATTCATGAAACCACTTTGATTTATTTAAATTCAATTATATGGTTGTAAATAATAATAATAATAATATGATCCATGAAACACCGTAATCGAAAAAAACACAGTTCGGAAATTCTCCAAGCACTTATTTTCCACTAATGTATATGTAGGGTAGTCATTTCCATTCCAGGTTTCTCCATATTTCCCGGATTTCTCACGTTTCCATGCAGTATATAAGTAGAACGGGTTTCTATTTGTACATATTTTATACATCATCCATAAGTCCATAACTGTGTAAAGAGGCAATTAATCTAAAAAGGTAACATTTTACTAGTTATGTGTGTGTACACAAACAAAGTAAATTAAATGTGTACAAAAAAGTGTACAATGACCCATATAGAATTTGGCTCCTTTGAAGCAAAATTGCCCGTTTATTATACAGAGTATTTACCACTTTCAGTTTTCAGACTATAATGTTAGCAATCGTGCTACTTGTACACTTTTGTCTATTATAATGTTAGCAATCGTGTTACTTGTACACTTTTGTCTATGTACACAAGCAATTTCGAAACGAGTTACCTATGTACACATGCAACTAGCGTGTGTACAAAAAATGTGTACAAAATTCATGTACAAGTAACTTATTTCATAATGTTAGTGACACTTTTGATGTGAGAGACACTTTTGATGCCCATCTTCCAAATTTTCCATTTTTAATCGTCCGACTTTCATAAAAGTGACATCATATGTCCTTTAACTATTATCATATTGACATTTTTAATCCCCATTTATTATGATAAAATCATACTCCATAATAGAACTAAAACTATCAATTTCACCATACTCAAGGGACCAAATGTGAAGAGCTTTAAAGTCAGTGACTTAAAACTCTCTCACAATATTCGAAATATTAAAAGTAAAAAAATCAAAGACAGATATCAACTATCACTAACACTATAATCAAAGGACTGAAAATGACCGAAAACTCTAATCTAAGGGACTACATTTGATTTTGTCTCATAAGATTTTTTTTAGTATAATCTAGTATTCTAGTCTAAGCTCGTCCAAAAGTTAAATAAGTCTCCAAGTAAACAAACAATGTTATTATTTGTGGGGTTATCAATTTATTTATTATACATAACGTCATTCCGTGCATTTGCAATATATCTAATATACACCCCATTGAAGCATTAACAAAGCAACAAACACAAAGCACCAACAATATAAAAACAACTCACTTGAAAAATGAATAAATATGATCAGTAGTTCAGTAGTGACATTGGTTACAACCCCTTGATTGGGCACACAATAAAACAAATGCCTCATGGATGTAACTCAAACAGTCATTAGTAACAATCCATCTTTCTTTCACCACACATACAACCAACTTCCTTTAAACCACCAAAAAAGAAAAAACAAACAAATGAATGAGACAGCGGTTAGATTTCACAGCAATACATCATCATCAGGCCCGGCAAGGTTCACCTGTCATTACTATGTTTTAACCACCACAACCTATGATGCAAATAAAACGTATGGATATATTATGACGGATGAAGATACTTACATTGCAATCAAGAGCATGCCTTCTTGCCAGAACAAGAGCTCCATTTCTTTCCCGCTCTGAATCAAACACCAACACAAACGACTGACCTTTTCGAGGTTGCCAGAACAATGACTTTGCGGCAGAGTTCCCTCCCCCTCTGAATCCACAAAGCTGGTATTTGTAGAAACATAGAAATAAGAAGTCATAATTTTTTTAGTTTTCCGACTATTAGTCATATGACTATTGTGGCTGACATTTTTGGAGCCTGTATTTCACTTTTCCACTGTTAGATCACTAGTGTGACAAGACACTCCTGTAGCCGTTTTTCAAATCTTCAATGTTATCCTCTAACTATTTTGTGACAGCGACACTTTTACTACTCGTCTTTAAATTTGCCACAATAGTGGAAGACCAAGTTTCTGTCACATTATATGGATAGTCAAAATTCAAAATCTAAAAAGCACGGAAACTATTGGGAAAAAGTACATTTCCGTTTCAGAAACTCTACAAGAACTCTCTAAACTCTTGTTTTTCTGTTAAAAGATGGCTTTTCTTGTTTCACGTTTCCCATACTTCCCACATTTTGTACAACATAGACCAAAAGTGTGGGTATCACGATAACCAGAGGGCTAAAAGTGGAAAATTCATAGACATGTCACAAAAGTACAGTCAAATTACTAAAAGTAGAAACTTGAAAGGAAGGAACCAAAAGTGTCATTGTTGTAATAGTCAATGGATTAAAAGGGGGAAAACTCTTTTCAAGATTATAATCAGGAAACCAAGTTTTGATGGTACCTGCATGGAAACGGAATAAGGATCTCTAGCTTTTGTAATCCATCCTCTTGAAAGCTTCATCCTCATTTTCCCAACATGAAATGAATGAACAGAACGGGATGAGTAGTTCCTTCCATTCATCTGGGCAATAACCACCTGAGAAATACAACCAGCACTTTGGTTTTAAGGTTGGATTAACAATGTTATCAATTCGATGAAGTTTGAATGCTAATCACTTACACAGAATTCCGTGTTGGATTTCCGAAGAAGTGTCTCCAAATAATTCTCCAGCCCAGCTACTGTAAAATAAATCAAGGGAAAATGATACTTTTAGTTCCCGTGCTACACACTCCTCTGCACACCTTAGGTCCTCCGATCTCTCCATTTTCAGTCCCTGATGATCTCCTAGAGTGACTTTTTAGTCCAGTATTTCCGAGGTATCAAAGGACTGGCTTAAAAACCCTTGGTGGAAAACAAGGGGACTGGAAATGTTGAAATCAGTTATACACTTATACAAGAACTAAAAGTGTGTTAAAGCCCAAAGTATAACTTAGGGAGTAAAAGGGTCATTTTCCCATGAGTTACGTAAAGGAGACAACATCCTAATAAAACAAAACAAAATGGACAGAATTCATCTACGCCAACCTTGATTTATCTGTCCAATGGTGGTCACTATGGACTTTGAGTGAGTTGAGACGATATCAACTTCTAGAACGCGCCCAACATCGATAGGTTCAGGGGCATAAACAGATTTATCCGCACCTGGTAAATATCATTAATTGAATTACAAGAAAAATTTGCATTATATAAAACAAAATATATTCTTACGCCCCGTTTAATTGGAAAGAAATATCAAGCAGAATGGGATTGATCGCTTATGAGAAATGAATAAAGAAGGCTTTGGCATTCTTTTTAATTGGAGGGAATAAAATTAGCGGGAAATTGGGAATTCAAATTCTATTGTTTGAACGGATTGCATTGAAATTGAAATTTTACTAGTCATGAATAAATACGGTTTCAAACTATATTGATTGAATGCACTTGAATTTTGTGCAAATCGTAAAGCAAAAATGAAATTTCCATGAGTAATAAGTAATATAACATGATGCACCAAGATAATTATAGCATGGCCTTTGTATAAAGACAAGATATATAAGATACCTAAAATAGGTTCTCTTCTGCTGCATTCAGATGATAACCGATACCACTGAATTGAACATTTCAAAAGATCAATGGCTTTGTCTGAGGATGGCTGGATCCGTAAAATTGAGCCTACACTTTCTGAACCAACTATTTGATACAATTGAGACATGTTTTGCTCCATTCTCTTCTTCATTGCTAACTGCAAACAATTGGAAATAAATCCACTATAACATAGTGTGCCAGTTTTGGGCATATCTCTAAGATTAATTCATAAGTATGCATGGGCACATGCACATCCATATTTATTTAGCAGATTCATTTCAGCCGCAAACTTAGCAATTCATCTATTCAGGTCTTACTAAACGGTTCCTAACTAATTTAAAATGCTCAATTAAAATATTACCTCAGTCCCATGGGACATTGCCACATTGGAGTTAGGTTGAGATTTGTGCAGACGAGAGAGAAATAAGTAGAATCACGAATTAATTACTTTAAAGGGAAAGTGACATAGTTTTTTAGACAAATAAAAACAGAAAGTTGGTGAAGTCAAGTGGGACGAAGGGAGTTTATATAAAATCAATCAGCTCAATTTAAGGCATGTTCAACACTATCGCATGAAAATTTAAAATAAGGAGGATTTAACAAGATAATCAGAATATAGAATAAACCAGCTGAATCAGCACAAAGTTAAAAATATAAACGGATCAAAAATAATAATCTGAATACAGAATAAATCATAACTCTATATCCAATCGATATCACCATATCACATATTCATGTCTAGTAGAACATCATCATATTATATATTCCTTATCAGTAAAAAATATGGTATGGTGGTTATCTACTGAGTACTGACTCCATAAAATGAATGGACAGAATGAGAAACAATGAAAGAAATAGACCTCATTTTGGAGCTTAATAGAAACCACTGATTTCTCTTTGATAAGAGTTCTCAGTGCTTGAACTTCATGCTCCATGTCCATCACCTACAAAAATTATTAAAAAATTATCATGGTCAAAAAGTTCTTTGTTGAGATCAAATAGTACTACTGTATAAGAGGACTTCAAGTAATCTTCAAAGACAAATACCTTGCTGGGCTTATGCAAGAGCCTAATTCTTCTAGCTTCTTGAATCTCTTCCATTAGTTCCTTAACTTCCTCCTACAACAAATACACTTCAATCTTCAAGACCTGTTTCCTTTGCCTGAAAAGTGTGATCTGATCTACACGTTTTAAAATATGGTCTGGTCTGAATTTTGTAGTGTAATCCGGTCACGATGTTTTTTTTGTTCTGGTCATGTCTGAGTGTTTCTGGTCTACTATATTGTGATTAAAATAAGAATAAATAACAAGCACAAAAAGAAGAGAATAGCACCTCACAGAGAAAGATTTTACTACACTCATTTCAACATTTCTGTCCCATGTGGAATTGATAGAATTTGTCTCTGTTCTAAAAATCGTTGTATGTTGTAGGTGTCCGACTAGTCCCCATCTAGGTGCTAGGCGGTGGTCGGGCGCCCCGATCTTCGTCTAGGCACTCCGACTAATTGGTTTACTGTCTAGGTGAATTAGTCGGCCGCCTATGGCGCCTATTTGCCCGTCTAGAGCGCCTAATCAGCCGCCTAGTCCGTCTAGATTCGTCGAACATTACTTTAGTTTTTAATTGTAATTTTCTAAGTGATATACGAACTTTAACTTTAGGCCTTTAGCCATAGATATACAGAAATGGAGTTGTATATTAAGATAAAACTATATATGTTTGTATATATATACGTAAATTGTATCATTTTTTATATTTATAAGTTATAACATAATGAAGTTAAGAAATTAGTTATCATATACTACGTATGATTAAATGTGTTAGTTATATCATTCATGTTTGTCAATGTATAAGTATATATGTATCTTATAAACGCAAAAATACAATATTACTTATCATATTTATGCAAAAATATAGATAAAAGAGCAATTTATATGTGTCTGACTAGGCGCTGGGCTGGCGCCCAACTAGCGCCTAGCGCCTTTTAGAACATTGGAATTTGTTAGTTCCACGAAAAAATAAATACAATGCTCGATCCTTTAATCTCAAAATGAAATGTTGAAAATGAATATAACCAGAAATAAACACCAAAAATAGATATCAAGTCTTCCTGAAGAAAGTAATGAACAATACACACAAAGTTACAAACATGCAGATATTCTACAAGAACTGTTGTTACTTAGGGAATTATTTATTCACCCAAGAATCAAAGTGATAAAGAGACTAGTAAAGTAGTAACTAAGTAACTATGAAAAGAGAAAGTCAAGAAGAAACATGTAACTGAAAAACACCTGTTTCCCAGACACTTGAGAATCCATCTCTTGTTCTTCAAGTGCTTCACCAATTCTTTGCACAACTGCTCTCGCACTCTCAATTTCAGCACAAGCAAAAGACCTCTCTTGATTTACCAACCTTTTTGCATCTTCTGAGGCCTTTAGAACATAAGAGTACACATGTTTATTTGTCTAATTTGTTCTCCAATTCTTATAACATAGCAAAGTTTTATTTTGTTCATTTACACCAACATGCTTCTATAGTTCTATATCTTACACACACATAACATGTATATGTATGTGAATATATGTGTGTGTGTGTGTGTGAGTGTGTATAATTAATTGGAAACACCAAGATTGCATTACCTGCTTTAAAATGCTCACAAGTTTGTTTACTTCAAACTTCTCTTGTATAAGATCTCCTTCTTTTTGGGTTAACTGTACAGCTAAGGCTTCCACCTAGACAAAATCAATCAACTATGCTTGAGCATATTCAGAAAAATATTAATATGAATACACTCACATGAACACAAATAAACAACAAAGACTAACCATAGAAATAGCTATCTCAACGTCCTCTTTGTACTGACCCGCCAACCTTCCTTTCAGAGTTTCCAATGCATCTCTTAGCTTCTTCAAAAGGACATGTCCCTCTAGAGAAGGGGCATCTCTGAGTTTAGCCTGAATCCATCACAAGTATTTCTTTAATGCTAACTTAATAATAAAGTATTATCTTCATAGCTAAAAGTACATCAAGAAAAACAAGTGTGATATAAATAAGAAGAACACACTCTTTTGTATTCAATAGATAACCAGTAGTTGAATTCAAAAACCTCATTGGCCAATTTAGCAGCAGATGCCAAATTCTTGTCGAATTTGCTAGCCAGGTCTCGTACAGAGAGACGCTTGTGCTGATCCGCTAGACGAGTAGTTTCTTCCTCAACAACCTCCTTTAGGGGAGGACCTTTGTTTTCCAATGCTGTCTCTTCTAAAATCTGAAAATCCGGCCCAAGCTTATATTTGGGGAACTGATTAGAAACAAAGCTCACATCTGCTGATACCGATTTAAACGTGTACATCGGCAAACCACCCCCTACGAACTCTGGAGTTACTTTAGTCATTTTCCCCCTGTATGCTCTGCTGATTAAAGTGGAGGAATATTTATGCAATCTGGTAATAGAAATACAATCAAATTATTAAATGAATGGATGAGAGAGAGGCATAAGATCTGTTTGTTGCAGTGTTTTTCCTAAAGAAGAAACTTCAGAAACTTGATTTCACCTATGGATAGGGAAAAGATAACATTTTTTAAGCATTTTCAATTTCATTTTCTGCAGGCAGATGAATACCAATTGCCTAATTTCCTTTCTGATGGCTTGGGTTTCATTTTTCTTCATTTGGTAAAGTTGTTTCACTACTATATATGGAGATCCTGAGTACTATTAGCCTTCACATGCATTTCCGTATCACCACATACATAAAATCCTCACTGTTACACATAAAAGAAAATAAATGTGACAATATTTCATTATCTCATAAATATGCATAGAAACAGTGCAAGAACTGACTGCAATAAGACAAGTTTCTTCAATTTACGCAAAGCAATGATATGAAGGCTGAAGCATAATAAGGAAACAAGATCAGTTTTTTTAAGCAACCCAAGATATACAAAAGGAAATGAGCAATAACTGAAAAAAGGTGGAATAAAAAAGAATGATAGGTGACCTAGAAATTGGAGATGAGAGATTTTTTTGCAATAAAAGGGATAAACAAAGAATTCAGGAGACAAATGCAAGTTACACTTACAGGGTTCAGATGAAAGGAAAATGCAGGATGAAGTATCAGAACATGTTCATCAGCATAGCTGCAATGAATCAATGAGCTTTTTCTTCATACCCCAGCTCAGACACGGGGAGAGAGAGAGAGATGGGTAAGTAAGCAACTGTTGTAGGGTAGTGGAAGAAGAAGACTGAGAAACGTGGAGTCTGCTTTTCTAAAAGCTTTTAGTAAGAAAAGGGAAAGGCCTTGCACCAGTTTTACCAGACTTAATTGCGTTTCCCCCCGATCCGTGCCTGCTTTGAAGACTGTTGGTCTGTTCTACAAATGGCCTACCTAGTGCATCTTACCTGCAAAAATGAGTCATGAGTCCATTTGGTAAGTCTTATATTCCAATTATTCAATTTTTTTTCACATATTTGATTTTTAAATTTTACATTCCCAGTTGTAAAATAATCAAAATAAATAAAATTTGTTTTTTAATTAATTGTCAGAAATTAGTGAAAATGACTACCTTGGCTATATTTTCATATAGATTTTTCTTTATTTTATTATTAAAATATAATTTAAATATAATTTTCTTGCAATTCAGCAGTCTCATCCAAATTTCATCATATTTAATCAATTTTAGTATTACCAAACCAAATCTATGTACACGTGTCAGGATAGAAATACAAAAGTATATTTTTCTCCTTATTTCAACTATTTTTTCTGTTTTTATAGATTTTTCTTCATGGTCAAATATAATATATATCTAGAATAAACATTATGGTTGATATTGTTGAAGAAAATAACTAAGCATATGGAAGTTTGAAAAAAGATAGAGAGAAATTCCATTCATTTGTTTGTATGTGTAGATAGGGGTGGGGCGATGAAACCAAAAAAAGAAATCAACAAAACTCGCAAGCAAAATAAAGTGAACCAAAATTGTACTCTAAAAACCGAACATCAATCGTTTGGTTTTGGTTTTCATCTCTAAAAACCGAACCAGACTAACTGATCTTTTTAAAATATGTTATCTTATTTATTAACCATTGAGAATAATATTTTGTTTAGTTCTTGATCGATTCAACAATTGAACATGTGTTACTTTTTGAACAATTGAAAATTGATAAATAAGATTAAATGTAAGAGATATTATCTACAAAATACACTATATAATAAATTATTTAGCATATATTATGTACCGCATAATTGCTAAACAAAATATGTGCCTTAAATATACCAAAAAAAAAAAGTACTCGTCAATATATTAATAGCGTTGTTGATAAATATTGGTCCTTCTATGAGATCATGTAATGTCACAAGGCTTTTATTTTAGTCACACTATTTAGAAATTATTTTTTGAGCTGAGAGTAAATTTTACAGGTTAACAGTATTGGTCTTTCTAGTTAATGATAATATTCTTAATTAAGAAAACTTTCATATCATTCTACAGGTCAAACCTTATCACCATTGACTGGAAAAGTAAACAAATGACTTATTAACAAGGTATGGAGGCAGTAATTATATCAACAAATTAATTAATAATGTGACAAACATTTGAACAATATTTCATCCCATGGGATGAGATGAAAATCTAAAATTTAAAAAAGAAATTGTTCAAGATAGGAGTAAAACATAGACAAAGTAAATCGAAGGGAGTCCCTAAAGTGGGACTTATTTGATTCTATGAAAAGCATAAAACTTCCTAATCAGGAATGAACGAGTCATATTTAAAAAAACAATGTTGGTCATAATTGTGCAATTGGTTCATATATTATTATGTACTACTTATGACATTTTAAAATATATATTTGGTTTCCAGGTATCAAAAAGGTCATTTTTAATAGTGATCCGTGAGAGTCTAAATAAGCATATACGTAGTATAAATTAAACTTTAAACAAGCATGTATAAAAGCAAATTAGCGACCAATATACTATCACTGTTTCAAGGCCAAGACAGAATGAAAATGTGTTCTGATCTGGTCATCAAGCTCAAGCCACACCCTTAAGTTGTCCAATCGAAACTCGTCTTTCGTAAATATAATGTTCAATTACTCTTACTCCCATGAAACTAAATCCTCACTCTTCATCCATTACATGTGAATCAGGACTTCTCTCCCAAGTAAATTTGTGGTTTCTTTTATTATTACGCTTAGGTTGAGGTTCACATCTCTCTAAGTCACCAATGCTCCTATTAATCTGCCTTTGTAAGTCTTCAAATTCATCATTGGCAACTCCTTTCCTTTTTTCAATCTCTATGTTATGGCTCATGTTGGGCATTTCGGGGCTCATTGATCGGCTTGGGTAGGTGGAAGTGTTGAAGATTGAGGGAAATTCCACTTTGACCTTAGCACGAAAGTTGTTCTTGGATTTTGGTATTCTAGAGCAAAATATTTCTCTAAAATTCTCCGCAATCCCAACATTGTAGGGATTCATCTTCCTTTCATAGCGGTATCGAAAGTTTTCATACGTTGTCTGCAAAAAAAAACAATTCCATACATGACACGATTTAAAAAATATACTAGTATCAAACACTGTTATTTCTCTTATCAAGTTAAACTCTTAAAATGAAAGTCCAAATATTAATGTGCTTAGTAGAACAAGGAGTATTGTGTTCATGCTCTCAATAAAAAGGGAAGACAAATTACACGAGCTAGAGGGTGTTTGTGAAGGAGACAATATAAATTCAAGTTTTAGACTACATCTTAAACAAAGAATCTGAGTCATATTAATAGACACATTTACAATACTCCTAAATAATACTCTATAAATGTGAAAAAGCAGCAATAAAACAGAATGTACCTGATTGGTGAGGATCAAGTATATGTGAAATGAAGTCAGACCTCCAACGAACCAAGAAACAATAAATGTATAAATGATAAGAATTCCCGAACAAGGTGATTTGGCAAAAGCCCTCCAAAAAGAGCAATTTTCTGCTCTCATTACAAGCCTAATGCTTATACAACAACAAGTAAAAATGTATAGACACAAGAGAGTTGTAGAAGAAACAAACATGAAAAAGTGTCGATAATTTCTCTGCAAAAAAAAAGAAAAAGAAACCAATAAAAATTGATTCCATAGAGTAGAAACAACAGATTTAAGTAGCATTGCTCATATGATCATATATATTTCGAAACAATTGATGTGAATGTGAATAAAACATTATTAGTCGGGATGGAAAACTCATATTCGTGTCAATTTTAATTTGATTGTTTTCAAATAACGCAAACTCGTTTTCCATTCCGACTTGGTTTTATCTCAAGAATATGAGTCATCTGATCTTAATAAAAGAATAAAAGTACTTACCTTTCCAATGCATTGTCCCACCCATGGGCAGTGGTGATCAAACCGTTCAACACAATTATTACATATAGAGCAATGAGAGCAACGTGGGGGGCGGTACAACATGCATGTTTGACAGTACTTTACCCGCACAACTATCCCATTCACTATAACACTCTTTGTTGGGGGTAAACTCATACCACTCTGACTCCCCGCCCAATCTGTGGAGATACTTGAAGTGTCCACTTCATCATCTGGCTCCGGCGGGTGGGAGTTTCGGGGAATTATTCCCGGATCTCTTCCCGACGTGACAAAAAGAAGAATAATTATCTGCATTCAATTACCATTACATATCATCAATCTATTAGGTGTTATTGTTTTTATGATAATTGGCCTATTATACAATGTATGTATGTTGAAAGAAACTACTATATATACTCACATAGGTGGTGAAGACAAGTGCTAGTGCTAGGAGAATATGACCTATTGGATGAGGGAGTTTATTGATGAGCCCTCTTGAAACGAAAACACAAAACAATAGTAGTGGAACCAAAATCAAGAATAGGGTGAATGATATTGATCTGAAATCTGGACCAAATATCAGTCTGCCCCCACATATGAATTTCTGCATCCAATAGTTTAAATAAAAAATTAATGAAAAGAACTTGCAAGAATTGAAGATGTGCAACATATAAAATAATTGAAAGAACTTATAGCAAAATGAGCAGTTTATAAAGTTCTACTATTCATGCTCGGTATTCCTTGAGAATTTTTTTTATTAGTTACTTATAAAATTCTCTAAATAAAAATAAACCATAGTACATTTACTCAAAAAGGACACAATCTTCTAAAAATAGGACTCAATCACTACTATTTCATAATCTTTTATTGTGTTTTAATACTAAATAATGAATTTTTCAGTTGGACTTGTTTCAATCTCATACTAGCTAGACTTAAAGATATCAGATTATATCACTTCAAAAATACATGAAGCCATACACATGTTAATACATTGTATACCTCCATGAGCGTCTCTCTTTGAGTTGATACTTTGCTACTCCACTAAATTACTAATGTTGGTTGGTGTTCCCTCTTTTAGTATATAATTACTCCGTATTATTGGCGAATTCGAATTTTTATGTCGCTATTTATGCCTATTTATTAACTTAAGTTTACTTATGTTGTACTCCAATTTTTTTTTAAAATAGGAATAAACACAACACATTTTCTAAAAAATCACACTTATATAACATCTAACATACTCATATGCAAATTATTAAATATCTGACATGCCCTTTTGTAATCTCTAACATACTCATATGTTTCTTCTTGGTTATGTTTTACTCCTCAAAAGAGGCTCATTCACTATTAAAAGACAATGACTTTACTATTTTATTCTTCTATTAGGGCTAATTAAGTCCTGTTTGATAATACAACACAATTAATCCTATTTTTGAACTTTGTGCAGTTGTGCTCTAATTTTGAGTAATTTTGAAACTCGATCTTTGAGCTTGACATTTCTCATAATCTATTTTTCATAAGATCAATAGGATATGATGGAACTCATCCCATAATAGGTTGGGCAGTTTGCTAGCTAGGATGATTAAATCTAACTATAATCAGAACCTGGTTAAATAGAGAGGGATCCTTATTGAACAAGACTAACCCTGAGTATATTCAGGAATCAAATCCAGATATATATACATATTAATCACTACAAAAAACATGGGATTGACAGATATTTTTGGCAGAGATTTCTCAAAATTGGCATGGATTTTGGTATAGTAGTTACTTCGTATATGCCAAATCCGTGTCAAAAACATTTTGGAACAAGCTATTTGGCATAAAATCCGTGTCAATCTCGTAATGTTTTTGTAATGAACACTAAGTTACTAACTATCAATTAGTTGAGCTACGACCAAATGCTCATGATTTATTTCTTACGAGTTGTGTTACTTCTTACTTGTGCATGTACTTGTGAACTCCAAATCATATCATATCATAGCATATTTTTTATAAATATATACTTGGTTCATCGATTCGTGGAGATCCAATTAGTAGATAAAAGAAAGAAAGAAAGCTT